GACGGTTCCCAGAACTATTCTCAGGCCGATATTTTCTACAGTGCCGATCGGCCTGGACGATGTCCAAATCGGCCTGGACGATATGTACAGAAAATCACCTGGAGCAAAACTGGGCAAATTCTGGAGCAAAATTTCCACTGATCGTCCCAGGACGATCCAGATCGTCCTGGACGATCCTGGAGCAGATTTTTGATATTACAGAAATAACCTATTCTAATTATAGTCGATTGTAAATATTAAAATTCGAGAAGTAAATTTAATTTGCATATAATAGAAAAATAAAATCGCAAAAAATTAAATGTAAAAATGAAAAAACACACCAAAAATTTTTATAGCGGTTTGGTCAATCTTGACCTATGTATACTCTCTGGAGTCCTCCACTACGGGTATTATACTAAACTATAAGTGTCTCTCCTTTTGCCCCCACAGCAAGGTAGATAAGCCTTTATAGAAATCCCTTCCACCATCCTTGATGTGGAGGAGTACCAGAAGCATATCACCCTTCTGGTAACGGCCACAAACCATCAATCTTTTTCTACCTCTTGGAGAAGGTAGAGAGCCTCAGCTCTTTTGCTCCCTCTTGGATCAGGTAAAGAACCAAAACTCCTTTTTATCCCTCCTGGTGAAGGTAGAGAATTTAGAAAACTTAACTTCAAAGCCTCTCTCCCAAGCAAACCTTCAAAGACTCACCAGGCCACATGAGGAACCATGGTGTAAGAAAACCTCCCTTAAGTTAAAACTCACCTTCCTCTTCCTCCCTCACCCAATAACTCTCAAGAAATGTTCTCTCTCAAAGTACCTTCAACAACCAACCATTCCACTCTCTTTATTTTTCAAGTGATTATTCAAACATGGTTTAAGTATTAGTCTTCAAAAAACTCTAAAAATTCAATATGGTTATTTCTATTTGTATAGTATGATATGAGTTCATATAGTACAAATGATTCAAACACTAGTCCCGTCTAGTATGATACAAACAGTCTTTTAGATGAACTGTTCAAATTTCGCAAATATATCATACATCACGATCGTGAGGTCGTCCAGTATGATCTATTTAATTTCTCTATATTCGTACAGGATAATCCATGGGACGGTAAAAAATCATCTCTATTAATCATCCCGTATTGTTCTCATCATAAAACACGATCAGTTGATTTCCATTAGGTTTTCTAGTATGATGTAAACATCATATAATACAATTAGTTTAAAAATCATGATTTCGTTTGATATGATATGTGGGATGAACAATTATATCTCTATCAATCATATAGTGCGATCAAGATCAAACATTATAATCTACTATCATTAAGTAAACCATAATTTAATTGATTAATGATGGAGATAATTTAAGTAAGATTTTAAAATGTCATATAGTACAATTAGTTTA